TCGAAAGGCCCTGGACCTGATTGCCACTCTCAGGGACGCTGGTTCTCACAGTGTGCTCCCGGGGCCAGCAACATCAGCATGACCAAGAATGTGTTAGAAATGCAAATCCCAGACCTACTGACTCAGGAACTCTGGGGATGGGGTCCAGCAACCCGGGTTTAAACAAGGCCTCCAGGGAATTCCAACCACATTCACGTTGGACAACCACTGGTACCGCCCTCTGACCCTCAGCTGGCAGGTTTACCAAGTGCAGCTGCCCTAGGCAGATGCCACCTCAGCCTAAGGGTGAAGGGTTGTGGGCAGAGCCGGGGAAACAAAGGGCAGAGAGTGGAGATGCTGCTCAAGAATCTTCCACATCACAAGAACCATGCCCATGCTTCTTCCCAGCGGCAGGCAGGGCTGTCTCAACACTCTTGCCAGGGCTGCTGCACGGGGCGGCGCAGAGCTGGGACCCCCTGAAGACTGCAGGGCTCAGCTGCCCTACAGGCCATGAGCTCCAGATGGACTTTGGGGGGTCAGTGCTCTGGAAAGTTACATGGTGAAACAAAACAAAACAAAACAAACACACCAAAAACAAACATATCAAAAAACAAAAAAACACGTTGCCTTGGCCAGATTAGGGTGGCCCAGGAGTAGGGTGACCAACTGTCCTGGTTTGCCCAGGACTGAAGGGTTTCCCAGGATGCAAGACTTTCAGGGCTAAAACCGGGAGAGTTCCGGGCAAACCGGGACAAGTTGGTCACCCTGAACATCCTGGTCACCATCCCTCTTTGGACAAAGAGGGAGGCCTCTTCGCGGAGGGTGGCAACAGTTTTGACAAAGGTTTCTGGCCATTACTTCCCATGGGAGATTTCACAGGTCTGCATGGATATGTGCAGAGGTTTCTCTCTCCCCTCTTTCTCCTCCACCCCAGACACGCACCGAGATGCTGACTCCTTCAGGATGAGCATCCTACCTGATCCTGGGCTCCTAACTCTGAGCCTTTGCTTCAGCCACTCCCTGTCTGGCCTCCCTGTGCTCCTGCAGATCCAAGGTCTACCAGGGAATTCCTTCCCGCCTTCCCAGATCCTCCTTTCTGGAATTACGTGTCCTTCCCCAACAGCGCCTTTGAAGTCCCCAAGTTTAGTGCTCACAGGCTGCTCTTGATCAGAAGCATTTTACCGGATGATTAGCAATGGATACCTGCCCAGTTTTCAAAAGCTCTTTTCAATTTCTGGAATCCTCAAGTCAACCTGGGGGGTAGGTGTGATCCTCAAACCCATTTTATAGAAGAAGAAACTGAGGCTTAAGTTAACCAATCCTCTTAAAATCATACAGAGGAAGTGGCAGGGCCAGCAGCCAACCTAGGCTCACGGATTGAGCCTCTTAGGCTGCACTCTCCATCTCTTCATTACCCAGCCCCTGTTGGTGAGGACAAGTCCCTCTGCGCCTCTGTGCCCAACAAGGGGCTGGACATGGAGCAGGCACTTGGCCAACGTTTACCAGGGGAAGGAGAGGCCTTTGTGAGCAGCAAGGATGCAAGGCACATGGATGACCAAATGGGCAAGGGATGACATGTGCCTGCAGCCAGCGTATCCAGAAAGATGGCAGGAAAGGACACTCCTGCAAACATCTCCTGTAAATGACGGTCCATTGCACCAGGAGCTCCATGAGGGCAGGAGCCGCCCCTCTCTTGCTCACTGCTGACTTCTTAGCCCCCAGCACAGAGGCCAGATCTGGTGAGCTCCAGGCACACCTGTTGAATGACAACAGAGGTTTCGTAGCACTGAGGCCCTGTGCCCTCCGGGAGAGGCTAATTCCTTGGGGATTCTAGAATAGGCAGAAGTTTCGCATGTGGCCATATCTCTGTCTGACATTGATTGGGCTCTACTTGTGTGCAGGGTCTGGGCTGAGCTCAACAAGGACCAAGAGAATGTACAAAACACATTCCCTGCCACTGGAGCACATCTTGGCTGAGGGATGCCACCATTGTCCTCCATGCCCAGTGTCCATGTCCTCATCCTTGGGGTCTAGTCCCTCTACCTGGATTTCCTCTTCGGAAGCCACCATTCCCTTAACCTCTATCCATGGCCCCAACTCCAAGGGTGGTCACATGGCCCTGGCCTGACCAATCAGCATATTCCCTCCTGTAGGCCACCATGATTGGTCCAAAGATGGACACCTGACCCAAGCTGGTCCAATGAAAGTCAGCCCCAGGACTTTAGTTGAAGGATTGGGAAAGGGAAGCTGTCTTTGTAGGGAGATTTCTGCCTGTAAGGTTGATGGAACACTGGAGCCTGGAGCCACAGGGACTGGGCCAGCCTGAGAGAAAAGGCGACCCAGGAGAAATCAGAAGAGAGAGACAGAGACAGAAATCCAACACGATCATCTTATAAGACCTGCTGCTGGAATATCCTAATACATGAGCCAAAAAACAAACATCTCTCTCCTTGTTTGTGTATTGCTGATGCCACTTCAGGACAGGTTTCTGCTACGAGTAACTGAGAAAGTCCCGCCATAGGATCAAACCACGCCTGCTCTCCCCTCACCCAGAAGGGCCCTCAGGCCCAAATCGCAACCTGAGGTCTCTGTCCCCTCACACTGGGCACTCCCTGCCTGCCTCCCCCTCTCTGCAGCCCCCTGCCTGGCTTCAGGCCCTCAGGGATGGTCTGGGGGCTGAATTATCTCAAGAGTCCCCCACTTGACTCTAGTGTGGCAGCTCACCCCCAGCCCACCTTCCACATGGAAAGCTGATCCTTCTGAAGAAGACAATACAGAATCACGTCACTTCCCTGCTTAACACCCCATCACTGTCCGTAGCGGTTTCCTAAAGGACAGGGTGCCTGTCCTGCAGTTAAATGAGCTGATTTTAGATGGCACATGGACCCGGCGCTCAAACACAGTGAAACAGAACAAGAAACCTAGACTCCTTTTGATTCCCTTACAGACCTTCTGATTTCTTTACAGAGAAAAATCTCCGCATGGTGCTCCCGCGGCTCTAACACCTCTCTACCACTTGCTTCTCTCCCTTTTTAACAAAAAGAGAGAAGGCCTTGAGCTCAGAACCTTCCGCAGCAGGCTGGAACTTTAAAACATTGGTTTTGTTTTCATTGCATTTATTTTTATCGTCACCTTCTATTTATGCAAGTGATCCTGGTTTTCCATTGGCAGTAGTTATATAAAATTGGCTTTGGAAATTAATTTGTGTAAACACAAAAGTGAGTCTATTTAAAGAAAAAATAAGGCAAATAACAGGAGGTATTTGGATATGGTGAAGGATGTTTGGCAAACAACAAGTCACAGGATAAAACGTGATCTGCTCAGCCAGGCACACAAGGCCCGTCACAGTCCGCCCCTTCACCCCTCCTTTCAACCCACTGAAGGGCTTGTGACTCCCAAGATGAATCTCCCAGGGTCAGATCTCCAAGCCTTTGCCCATGCTGTTCCTTCCACCTGGATTCTCTCTCCCCACCATCTCCTTATCAAACTAGAACAATCCCGTTTATTCTTTAACATCCAGGTCAAGGATGCTGTTTACTATGGCCCAACTACTCAGGGATTTCCAGTGCACTTGGAGAACAATTTCTGAGCTCTCTCAGGCCACTTGTTGTGGGTTGCCGACAGGAGGGTCCTCCCTTTGAGGCTGAGAGATCCCAGAAGAACAGAGCGGTCTTTCACCTCTGTGTCTGGCGCAGAAGCTCAGTTAGCACAGGACGAACTGAAACGACTCTAACTGGGGGATGCGGATCCATGAGACACAAGCAGACCTGGAGACAGGACAGGCCTGGAGCCTAAATGGTGAAAGGAAGAGGAATTCTGAAGGAATGGAAGGGAATGAGCTCCACAGGCAGGTGCCTGAGGCCGGGCCTGACAGTACAGCCCAGGGGTTCCTCAGGAGAGGGGAGGAGGTGAGCATCCTGGGATGGAAGGATCCAGATAGAAGGCCTGGAGCAGAGGGCCTGGTAGGCCCAGGTGCTTGACTTCACCTTGCATTTGAACTTCAGAACTTGTTATAACATCAATTCCTAAGCCCCACCCCAAAGACTCTGACTCGGTGGGTTTGAAGTGGGCCCCTGAAGCTGCACTTAAAACAAACGCTCTGGGCAGTGTCGAGGGTCACGCTCGGAGAAGCACTGGGCCACAGGTGTCAGGTAGGAATGGAGGCAGGTGGGGGTCGAGCACACAAAGGCAGTCATACACATGAGCCGCAAAGATCGTCCAGAACATTGTGTCACTGCCTGGACACTGAGCCTGGAAACATAGCCTACCAGAGAACAAGCGTCGTCAAGGTTATTTAAAATAGGCCCCAAATAATTCAACGGAGATGTGTGGAATGAGGGAGACCCACACAAGATCACGGGCATTCTATGGGCTGAAACTTGAGTGATCCATCCAAAATACAGACTCTCTTGTTAGAGACCTTATCAAGTAGAAATATAAACTGGGAACTTAACCCCTATGGGTCAGGGCTGAGGCCATTTCTGGCTAAAGAAACCCTCCTTTGTTTGAATGACCAGGCAATCAAATTGTTCAGAGATGAAATCAAGGCAAACAGGAGAAAGGGGGGTTTTGAGCAGAATTTGCTGCAAATGGCTGAAAGGCATCCATGTAACTTTGCTCCCAGAGCCTCCACTTCGGTTCTGTACTAATTGCCTCCTTAAATGTGAATTAAAATGGAAAAACGAAACCATGCGCGTGGGCGCAGTATTTAAGACCAGCGTCGGTGGCCGCCCCCCTTAAAGGTCTGGCCTTCGGAACAATCCAGGCGGAGTCACTCATCAAATGGAGATTGACTTTTATCTGATTAACCCATGGAGAAACATCCTTCTCCATCTCGCAGGAACATTCTGTGGGAAAGGCGTTTTGCAGACTGCAGAGAAAAGTTGGGCCTTGGCTTCTCTCCTGCTCGGCCAGTGGAAAATTACAAAGGAAGCAAGGCGGCCCTCTGCTATGCTCACAGGTTCTTCCTGGGCCCAGACGACACAAAGAGAAGCCCGGAAACGGAGCGAGCCTTTACTTACCTGGAGCAGAGAGGAGTCTGGGAGGCGGCGGGGGCGGGGGTGGCGGGGGCAGCGGGGGGAGGGGGTCGGCACTGGCAGATGTGTTGACAGCTGTCAGTCACCTTGGAGCAGGACTTCTGGGGCTCCCCGTGGGTCACCTGCAGAAATGGGCACACGTGCCGGAGGGAAGATGATGAAGCAACTGGGAGCCGAAATGGGCCCCCTTCAGCCACTCCCTCCTTCCCCTGGATCGGGACAGGAAGAACAGACAGAGCTGGGTTGGCTCAAAGGGAACAGTGTTGTGGGAGGCTGGCCTGGCAGGCTGGAGACCCAGGTTTTATTTCCAGCTCTGTCAGGAACCGGCTCTGGGACAGTGGCAACTGACTTGGGTATAATGAGAGGTAGACAAGAACTTGAAGGTCAACTCCCAGACCCTCCCATCAGACACATGAGGAAACTGAGGCCCAGGCAGCAGCTGCGGCTGCCCAAGTTTCTCACACCAAGTTGGTGACAGGATCTGATTTCACCTCCTCGGTAACCTGAGCCAACCACTTCTCCAGCCTTCCCGGCCACCACGGCGCAAGGCCAAGCCCTCACCTTCTCTCCGGCTTCAGTTCCTGACCACCTTCCTGTGTCCACCCTGGGTCAAGGTCCCCTCATCTTGGGGAAGGAACCTTACCCGGCCAGGCCTCTGCTCTGGTGTCCCATGCCACCAAGGGGAGCAGGGCAAACTCCCCAACGTTACCCACGAGGCCCCCAGCGGTCTTGTGGGAAACACATCTGACCAGCCCCTAGACAACCCCTAACTGCCTGCCCACAGCTCCGGGATCGCGCAGCCACAGGGCCCTGCACAGGCAGCCCCTGACAACGTCTCCAGCCCCACCTCGCCCCACGCTCCGGCCCTCTGCTCTGCCCTCACTGCCCTCCTTCCAGTCCCTGGATGCTGCACATGGCTCCCTGCCTTTGCACACGCTGCTCCAACGGCCCGGAGTGTCCTCCCACACCTTCCTCCTGCTCTGCCCATTACTCAGCTTGGCTGTCACCTCCTCAGAGAGACAGCTCTGACCTCCCTGACCTGGCCAGATCTCCTTTTGCTGGGCTCTCCTGGCACTGGGTTCTAGTCTGTGGGGCAGAAACCTACATTTGGGTGAGACTGGCCGTCCATACCCCTATTCATCACTGGACTGTCAGCTCGATGGGGGCAGAGGCCAGGCCTTTTATTTTTTTCTCTATCATAAGCCAGCACCTAAGGGAATGCCTGGCATTCAATAAATATTTGGCGAATGAATGAATGAACAAACGAATGATTATTAAAAACCCGACCAGAATTCACGCCTCTTGAATCCTGGTCCGGTGTTCTTTTGACACCGGCCTTGGTTTCCCCATCTGTAAACTAGGAAGGGCAGCAGGAGGGAGCTGTGCCTGAGCAGTGGTTCCCGAGCCTGACTGCGCACAGGATCTCCCAGGCGCCTTCAAATACGCATGCCTGAGCCTCGCCCACGAGCAGTGAAAGGGGAAAGTCCACAGGTGCGGCCGGGTCTGGGTATTCTGTCTAAACTTCCCAGGTTAAACTTCTAACGTATGGCCAGCATGAGAAGCGCTGGTTAGAGTGACTGCCAGCATCCCTCCCAACAGCAGGGCACGGTGAATCCATCAGTCTAGCATGTTGTGCCTGTCCCAGGGAACAAGATGATTTCAAGGCATGAAAGAAAGACTTAGTGGTCGCCCCCCCCGCCTCACAGATGCCCACGGTTAATTTCTCTGGCTGTCATCTCGAGGGAGTAGAACCCCAGAACCCCAATTTCCCTGCAGCCAGCCCCATGTGGCCCGCTTTCGGGAAACGCATTGCGCAGGCTGCCTCCAGAGGCCAGGGCAGTGTCTCTGCTGCACGGGTCCCCGGCCCCGCAGAGGCAGCCTGCCGCGCTCGAAGCAGGCTGGGTAATGGCCACCGCGGTAGCTGCGGGAGGTGAACTGATTTACAGCCCTGGCATAATATCTACCAGGCCAGGAAGCTCCTGCTCACCACCTCTGAGTGTTTTTAAAGGACCATTGACCGTGTTTCAAACTCTGGAAGGCAAGCTTATCTCCCACTGGGAAGAGCATATCCTCAGATGGCGAGCCTTTTCTCTTAATTATTTTTCAGAGATGATTAACTCCTTAGACAACAATGGCCAATCCGCTGGTTTCTCCACCAACACAATTGTTGGCCTCCCATCTTCGAGCCTGTCCTCCGGATTCTGACCTTCTAAGACGGTGGGGGTTGCTCGAAAGCTCCCTTCTCCCAACGGCTGGCCTCAGAGATCGCTTCTCCAATGAACTCTACCAAGTATGTGAACTTGAAGCAATTACTTCCCCATTCTGCAAGGTGCAATTTATGCGAGACAGTTCAAGAGGAGCACGTTTGTTTAACCTAGCCCAACACAATGACCTATTTCCGTGAGAGGATATAAGGGCACAGCTGTATAAGAGGGTTTAATGCGATGAAATTATAGGCAGGAAGATCGGGGCCAAGTTTCCAGGCTGAGGGGGGAGGGATGGAAGGAGCCCGCCGCATTGTAAAAGTCTATGATCTCTCATATGACGGCCCTGCTGAAAGGGGAGCAGGCCCAGCTGCATAACCACCTGTCATCACGAGAGGGTCCAGTCCTGGCCGCCTGTCCTCTCTGAGGGTGGGCCCCACTTGGGCCCTCGCTGACGTTTGATCCAGCACACCAGCCTGTAGCCGCCGAGCCTCTGTCGACTGACATTGGTTACTCAGATTCTTTCTCCGCTTGCCAACTTCTATTCATCCTTCACATCCAGTTGTCACACAGCCTTCTTGGGAAAGCCATCCTGAACCCCACACCCCCCCGAATAAGACCCCCTGCTCAGCGCTGCTTCTTCACCTTGTAAACCCTTCTCTTTTGGGCACTTCTCCCCCGGTGCTAGGCCATGAGTGCCTTGGGACAGGCAGGTGGGTGGGTCTGTGCTTTGTTAATCCTGACTAAGTGTGACTTCCTGAGCCCTACTGTGTGTCAGCCACAGGAAACAGGCTCTCAATGCCCCATGAGGTATCTGGGAAAGGTAGGTATTTTTATCCACACTTACCAGGTGGGACGACAGGCTCAGCAAGGCTGAGCAACGTACGGAGCTGCCCAGGGCCCGGCATTGGGTTGGAGCTCAGTGAAAAGGTGTGTTGGGGGATGGTCTGCCCACCGGTGGAGAAACACAGCATCCACCCCATTCCCTACCTCTGGGTCCACTTTGGGGTTCTGTGGGCTGGTGATGTTGTATGAGACCAGTAGAGAGGAAACCTGTCTTGGGAGCTTGTCTCAGCACCCAGCTTGGTTGGTTTATATCTTGGGGAGTCCCACAAGGAGAAGAAACTTGCCCCTGAAGTCACCTGCTCTTAGCTGGACTTGACTAAGAAGGAGCAGAGGCCCAGAGAGGTCAATGACTTGCCTAAGGCCCACAGAGTAAAAGCTGGTATCATTACTTCTGGGGACCACTTTTTATTCGTTTTGCTACGGTCTGCTTTTCCGCCTCTGCTCTGCAGCCCTCTCCTGGGCCCAGAATCCTGAGGCTCAGGTAGGTCCTGCAGTCACCTGGATTGGTCTGGGGGACATGGTACTCCATGGCTGCCACCTCCCTCTCCCTCCTGGACTATCAGTGCAGCTGTCTGGTCCAGTGGATGTTGCCTCCTAAATAGCCCTTGAATCCATCCACTTCTCCCATTCCCACTGCGACGGCCCTAAACCAGGCCACTGGGCAGCACTTACCTTTCACCCAGGATTGCCTGAGAAAATACAGGACATTTGTTGAATTTTAGATAAATTAACAATCAATTTTTTAGTATAAGTATGTCCCAAATATGGTATGGGATATACTTATGCTAAAGATTGACCCATTGTTTATGTGAAATTCAAATTTAACTAGACGTCCTGTATTCTTATTTGCTAAATTGGGTAACCCGACCCTGACCAGTCTCTTTGCTCCACCCTTGCCTCGCCCCCTCCCTGAATCCAAGCTCCACGTTGGAGCTGGACTGAGATTTCTGAAATGCCAATCTGAGATCATGTCATCTTTTGCTTAAAACTTTCAATAACCCCCAGCGTCCTCAGGATCAAGGCCAAACTGCAAGATGTTAGTACCTACAACAGTGGCCTCCCCTGTGGCTTCCCTCCCTGGGCTTCTTCCAATGCCCCATCCTCTCCTCCAGCCTCGGGGCTGTCCCCTCTGCCAGGACACTTCTGCCCTGCTTGCTTCCTGCCTCCTGACTCCTCCTCGTTCATGTCTCAGCTGCGAGGCTTTGCTGACTCTTCCACCAGGTCCCATCTCCAAGCTATTTGCTCCTGCCTATAATTACTTGTTTAATTATCTCTCCAGTGCCACAGTGACAGTGCCATGAGGGCAGGGACCATTAAGTCCCTTGCACTTAACACACGGCCTGGCAAACAGTAGGTGCCCAATAAATGCTGCCGAGTAAATAAGCGAAGCTGTAGGGACTGACCACAGTGGGAGGTTAGCATGGCTTGGGTCTCGGGTGTCTCCTCATCAGCACAGGGACCCAGAGGTCCAGATCAGAGCCTGTCTCCCTGACGATTGCTTTAGGAGGACGCCCACAAAGATGATGGCTTCTGGCATCTTTTATGGAGACAGGCCAGCACCACAGTAACTTGATGAGACACACTCCTGTCACACCTAATAAATTTGCCAGCCTGTCATCCTCTTTGCTTGCAAAAAAAGGAATCATCTGGAAGTGAACTTAGAAGAACCCTAAATCACAAAAGCTCAAAAATCTCAATTCCAGACACATTAAAGAAAAAAGAGGAGAGACTAGGGAAGGCCCCCCCCTACAACCTTGTGGCAATCCAGATGTCATCTGACTTTAATGATTAAGTTACTCATCCTCCAGGCAGAAGCCAGAGGCTTTGGGAAGATTTCAGAGTAGGACCTGATGCCTTGCGGACCACCAGTCTCTTGCTTCACCAATTATCCTGTTAATTACAGTACCTTGTTATGCCAGTCTCACCCTTCCAAAGGTTTACGACTTCAGGAAATTCTCGTGGCAAAAAGCTCTTGAAAGCACAGATAGCTCTGAGTTCTTTCTCTATATTCCAGAAACTCCTCTGACATGACAGATTTCAACCTCTCCACTTAAAGGGAAACATATATCTTGACGCACCTTCTTTTTTCCTCTTCTCCCTTCTGGTCCCTTGGATTCAGCTCTTTTGCTTAAAAACCAGATCCATCCACACTAAAGCCCCTCTTCCCTTGGCTTCTCAGTCCCTATCATTTGTAGATTAATTTTTCCAGAACCTCCAGCCAAGATTTACCCATTCTACTTGCCTAGAGGTTTCTTTTTCTAATTGATTTTCACGAAAATTGATTTGTATTGAGTAACGGCATCTGACACACACACTTCCTTGTGTAAGTACTGCCTGGCTGAAGGACACTGCTCAAAAATGAGCTGCTTTCACAAAATTATTTCTTTTGGTGATGGGGAGGTCGCAGGTCTGCTGTTTCGATCCTCCTAGTTCACAGGGCACAATGCTAGTCTTGGAGTCCGGCGACATCATCATGTCGCTCTCCATACTAACTGAAAAAGTCTCATTGGAAGAGAGAAAACTGTAAACCGATGAATACTAAAATGAAGCGAACTTAATATCTGAGATTCAACTAAAAGTCAAACAAGCGAAGCTGGTCCCAAACTGCCCAAGTGTTTAGAAGTGACAGAATCCTGAATCCTGAGGAGGCACAGCTGAGTTAAATAACTGCGGTTTCACACATTAAACAAAGCTGTCAATTCCAAAAGGAAAACAACCGTGAGTGAGATACAGACAAGCCAGAGAAGAGAGCAGAAGATGGGCCTGGCGTGGGGGTGGGGGGTGGACCCCGGCCAACCCACTCACTCAACCAGCATCCTCTTTCCAGCATTACAGCTCCTGGTTCTCTCCCTATGGTCACCCAGGCCACCATCCAAGCTGGACCAACGGAGCTGGTTCCCAGCAGGCCCCCATCGCTTGGGACAGCTGAAGGACCACAGCAGATGGGCAAGCAGTCTCATCCCATCCTTTCTTCCTGTCACCCCCTACTCAGGGCAATCATCTGAATAATCCCCAGCCCCCAAAATGCCACCATGAGCACATGAAGCTGTAAATACCACAGGGTGGGATATTTCAATGTCCGAAACAGTAAAAATGTGCTCCAGCACCTGCTGAACCACTAGCAATTCAAACATGTCAAACAGACAATGCAGTGATCAACAGAGTACCTGGCCAGCCAGTCCGAAGAGCAGCATTACTGTTACTAATACAATCAGGGCAGCAACAGCTACCATTTAATGCTTTTTATGGTCCTGGCACTGCGCTGGGTAATCTTTACTTGCTTTATCTCATCAAGTACTTATAATAGCACGGTGAGGAAGAAGGAACCAAGGTTCAGAGAGGGTTAAGTGCATTGCCTAAATCCCCCAGCTGGTAAGGGGCTGAGCAGGGGCTCAAAATTCAGAGCTGACACCAAGTCCACCTCTTTATCGCTCCACTGTACCATTGATAGTGGACATTCTGGGAGGTACTAGGGACCATCCCCTCTAACCTTCTCTCCAAGCCCAGCAGAAGTAACTCCAGCTGGTGGCTGCCCTGCCTCTGTCCTTGGGGCTAGGGAACCCTGGGAGACAATTCCATCCACAGGCACTCCTTACCGATGGACGAATGTCAGTTTTTTTCTTATATTCCCCACGAGTGGCCATACACACAATCTGTTCACATGCCCAACTCCACTACCTATAAGAAGCACAGCCCCTCCTGTGTTGAAGTCTAGTTTAAGAAGGCGAATTTGAAGTTTACTAGTGGTTCTGGTGGCAAATAAAGGATGTATAGTCTTGGGATCATCTTTCCTTTTAAATTTGTAAAAGCTCTCAGGTTTCTTCCCCTGCGTTTCTGCAAGAGTTTATCCTCAAGAAGGCAGTGCCTAAGCCCTTTCTGTTGCAAGGCTCTGTCCTGCAGGCCTTAGCAGGCCAGACTGAAGCCTCCCGCTGGAGTTTCTTATCTTTTCACTGCCAGAGTGTGGGGTGCTCTAGCATCTTTTCTTTTCCCAAACTCTTCCCCAGGACCAATCAGAGGGGTGGCTGCAGGAAGCTGGGGTCGTGGGAGTGAAGTGACCCTCCCCCACCCCCCAACCTGGTCCTACCCCGGAGGTCTCCCAGCCCGCGCAGCCCGCGCCGCGGCTCACCTGCACGAAGCCCCAGAGCGGGTGGAGCGCGCAGTGCAGCAGCAGCGAGGACCAGCAGCAGCCACGGCGCAGCACCAGGTCCCGGAGGAGCATCTCGGCCCGCGGCGCCCGCTCTCGGGGCTAACTGCTAGGGGAGCAAAGCGCGGGTCAGGCGGGCGCCGCGCGGGCACCATCGCCGGCGCGCACTCGCACACGTAGCAGTCCCGGTTGGGTGGGCACGCCCCGCACCCTGGGGCACCCTCGTAAACCAAGCCTGCCCCTTCACTCCAGCTTGCACACTCGCTGACCCTTCGTGCACACTCACAGAAGCCGGCATCCCAAAAGTCACACTCTATTCTGGTGCACACCTCCAGAACCTTGCGTGTATGCCTTGGCCCCGTGCACACCCCCAGAATCCCGCGTGCACCCCTTGGCCCCATGCACACCTCCAGAAACAGCCAAGCATACTTACCGAGCCCCGTGCGCCTCCCCCAGAAACAGCCATGTACAACTCACTCCCACTGTAACCACACTTCAAACCCGGCGGCTAAGTAAGCACACTCACTCTGCGTGCACACCCACAGAAACAGCCGTGCACACCCACCGACTCCTGCCTGCACACTTGCTGACCCTGCATGCACAGCACCACGGAAACACTCGCTGCGTGCACCCTCTCTGCCCTGGCGGTCTTCACTGCGCACACTGCAACATATGCACCTCCGTGCGCACCCCATTTGCCCTGGCGCGCTCTCCCGAGCCCTGGCCTCCCGCCTCAGGGCGTGAGCTTCCCCCACGTCTCCATCTCCGCCCGCACCCCTCCAGTGCCTCACGCCACCTTGCCTGGCGGCGGCCCCAGCCGATCCTCGGCGCCGGGAGGGGAGGTCCTCGCTCCCCTCGCGGCAGAATCTGTTTCCGAGCCGCCGGACAGCCCCCATTTAAAGCCAGCCGCCTCCCCAGTCCCCCGCCCTCTAGGCGGGGCCTTGGTCCTCACCCTGGCGACTGCGCGGGCGCCTGGGGGCTTCACATGCCGAGGAGGAGCGCCGGGCACTGGAGCAAAAGTTTGCGCGCGGCTTGGGCCTCCGGGGCGGCTGAGCCGGGGGCCCGGGCGCGGCGCGCTCGCACGGGGCGCGGGGGCGCGGGGGCTCCGGGCTGCGCCTGGCCGCGCTCGGGGCGGGAGAGGCGGCACCCCGCGCCCAGGCCCTGGGCGAGCTGCCGAGGCGGAGGCGAAGGCGGGGAAAGTCTCCTCCAGGCCGCCTGGAGCCGGCAGCGCGTGCCCTGCCCGGGTCCCCGCCCTTCCCGGTGGCGCCGCGTGGCTGCCCGGGGCGCGGGGGTGCCCGAGCTCTCCTCTCCAGTCACGCCGGCCCGCGGGAAGCGGCAGCGAGAGGCGCTGGCCGGGAGCGCCCGCTCGGGCAGCAGGGCCGCGGGCGGAGGCGAAATAAATAATGCACGAAAAAGGAAAACAGACGTGAGCCTCGCCAGAGCCTCGCCCGCCTCCCGCCCGGGCTGCGCTCCCGCCCGCGCTCCCCGCCGCCGCCGCCGCCGCCAGCGCCGCTGCAGTGATTGCTCGTCTCCATCTAGCGAGGCTATTGTGTATTGGGCGCTTAATAATTTATTCACCCGCGAGGAAGAGGACTCCAGGCTCCGGGGGGTCTTGCTCCTTGCTTGCCCTCCCCCCAAGTTTCTCCGAGGCGGCGGGAAGAGGGTAAAGACTGACTTGCGGAGGTCCCTTTTTGCGCTTGGTGCTTGCGGACTCGCCCCTCCCCCGCCCCATTCGGAGAGGGCGTAGGCTCCCGGCTCCGAGGTGCAGGCCGCACCTCCCGGGCAGGGCCCAGGGCCAGGTTCTCTCTTCAGTGCTCCCAGGACGGGGACCTCTCCAACCGCGCGGCTGCGTCTTGGAAGGAGTTGCCGACGGCCCTCGGGAGGACCTCTCTACCACTCTTTTTTCTCTACCAGCTCAGACTCCTGTTTGAGGCAAGATTATCAACAAGTCGGTCGCGAAGTAGCCCGTTACGTTTCTTTCAAACAAGCTGCCCCTGGCCCCACAGGCCGCACCACAGGTAGGCGCAGCCGCTCTGCTCGTCGGGTGGAAGCGCTTGGCAGCGCTTTGACTGATGGGGTGGCCTTCCAGAAGGCCCCCCGAGGCATGGACAATCCTATTTTTAGGTTGGGCAGGGGTTCTAGCGGCTCAGGACAGAGAGGAGAGTCAGGCACTAAGGTCCATTCACTAAAGACACGTTTACTTAGTTCCTTTCCCCAGTCTCTGTGGGCGCCCTTCAGTCACCCCATATAAACACACGCACTAAGTATAAACTGCTTGCTCTGCAAACCGGCTTTCAGACCAATTTGCTAGCAACCTCCTTCACGCAGAGTGCTGACCCAAGGCTCTTCTGCATACAAACTTTGTAGAGCCACATCTGAAGCAGTGAGATGCTGGGGGACAAACGTGAATGAAGCCTTGTCCCCTCCTAGAGCTTGGGATCTGATCTGGGAGACAGATAATAAAATCAGCTGTTCCACTGTCCGCTGACGTCCCACGGTCAGCTGTGGCGTGAGAAGGGGCCCGCACTGGAAGTGGAGGACAGAGCGAAGGCTGGAGGCAGGAGCAGTAAAGTCTTCCAGGATAAGAGGACATGCTGGGAGTCGGGGCGTGTATTTCAGGTGTTGGGAATCCCTTGGGGAAAGATGTGGAGATACTGGTTCGTTTGTTCATTCGTTCAGTTATTCATTCATTCCATACATAGTGTCTGTGAGCACCTACGAAGAGCCAGACAGAGGGTTCGATGCTGTGTATCCAACACTGGACATATCAGATCTTGTTGCAGCCTTTAAGGGGCCCATCATGGAGGAGGAGGCATGGGAAGAAAATATTGGTGTGGGTGGGGGGCTTCCTAGATGACTTTCTCTCACCAACAGTTTGAAGCAGGAGAATGAGGCACAAAATTGAGCCCTATTGGTCATCTGAGGTCAAGTAACACTGGGTATTTTCATGTCTTTCCACTTAAGCCAGTTGGGGTATTTCGTTCAGTACACAACTTCAGTCCTTAGATATGACCTGTGGTTTATACATGGAGCTCTTTGCCACTTAAAAATGTTTTTTATATCACATTTTAATTCAGTTCTCACAGCTCTGCGGGGTAAATGTAATTGCCCCATTTGACAGGTACAGAGACGTGACCTACCCAGGATCACACAGCTGCTCACCTGGATTCGGAAGTACTGACCCCCAACTAGAGGTTCTGTACTGTGGGAGAACCTGGGCAGGTTTTGCGTGCTAGAAAGCCTGCAGTATCCGTTCTGATCTTTAATATTCCTGTACTGGACTCAATCTAGGCACCTCTTGAGCGTCACCTGCCCCCACATCCTCTTGGTCCTCCTAACACCACGGAACAGCACAGCCTCCCTTAGGTTGAAGCTAGGCTCTGTCACCAGCTCCCTCGCGCCATGGCAGGACCTAGGCAGGCTCTGACTCCTCTCACCCCTTCCAGACTCAGATGGCAACTCACACCACGGTACCTGAGATCTGCCTACACGGGCCGGATAACTACTCAGAAATGCAGGGAGTTAAACCTTGGGGCAAATTTTGACCAATGAAAGGCAAGAGATGGGAGGGACACAGCATATGGATTGCGTGATTCATTTGCGCTGTCAGGAGATGTCCAGTAGGCATGCGTGAGCAACGGGCAGTGTTTCTTCTGAAGATGTGGCCCGCTCAACACACAACTCTGTATTTACTTCCTTCCTTCTTGGCTTCACTTCTCTTTTCCTCTTATTTTTATGGCCCTAGGATTGTATCCCTCAATAAAGTATTAGCAAGCAAGCATTGCTTCATGCTCTGTCTCCTAAGGACCCGGGGAAGTTGGTACTACAAGTGTCCCTAGAAAGCAAATCTTTTGGATGGGACGTTGGAGCTGAATTTCCCATCTATGTGGAAGCAAGAAAGGCCCCGTTACTGACGGTAAGCAGGGTCTTACCTGGCGTATAGCGACTTTACAGTTTCTAAAGCTTCACTGGCAGCTAATTGGAATGAGATGCAGGTAGAAAGCAAGGCTTTGGGAAGTCAAGTGGCTGCTGCACTATGTCAATGTGGGGAAATGATAATCATAAAGATGGTGGGGTTAGGTGGCTTCTTCTCACAGTACTGGAGGTTTTGCAAAAAGAAGACAATAGGCTCAGAGAAGCCATTTGCCAACTTAAGGCATGCTTTATGAACACTTTAAGGACATTCATCTCTTGACATCCACAAGACTGACTGTGCTGAAAATTAGGCTCAGGATCTGATTGTAAGGGTGGCAGAGCCAAAAAGAAGACTAACCGTGCAGCCACACAGGTGTCCTATGTCCAAGTCAGCGCTCTGATAGGGAAAGACTTGGACCTTGTGATCTGCAATAGAGGTAAGAGGCATTTGGGTGGACAAACCTGAAAATCTTGGACCTAAAAACCTTCCTAAATCCTCTGGCTGGTAGAAGCACCCTTTTTCCCTTTGTCAGAATGGAGCAGCTCCCCTTGCCCTGAAGACCAAGCAGTGACCCCATTGCAGCAGGTGCCTTGCAAGATGGTGCTTGTTCCCTTAACAATAGCCTACAGTGAACAAGATGCCAGAACTTCTCTGGGACAATATTGAGAAAAGGAACAGAAGGCTCAGTGAGGTGCGAATATCAGAATCGTAAGACCTGAGAACCCACCACCTGACTATGTTTCCTGGGATCGCCCAGACAACATTCCCTTCATGGAGCCGAAAGGAAAAGCCCTGGTTAGGGAGGTGTGGGGAATACCAGCATCTTTGAGAAGTTCAGCGATGGTGATCCTCTAAATGCTGGGTTCAGTGCTGGGAAATGGTGGGGAAATTGACTCCCTGCTATCAATGGGAGTCAATGTAATGGCAAAGGCCAGGTGGCCTACTAACTCCTGAGAGAGAATGGAGCATAATCACCATTTGGATGCAAGGTTAGAGTGGCAGTCAGATTGCCTTGAGCCATAGATATCTATATCAGTGGCTAATAGATCGTGATGTCACTAGGGATAAGATCAATGGAGAGTTGACAAGGGTATTGCTCAATTTGTATAAATTTTTTTTTTTAAAGTCAAGAATCTAAGAGCAGAATGATGACATCAGCTACTGCAATGGAAAATTTTCTATTTGTTCACAGGCCAGAGCCCATTGATTGAAGAGGAGGCTGGGTTCCTTTGAAGAAGGATCATGCAATGCCACTGTCATGAGCAGCAGCAATCCCACATGTGATAGAAGTGGTGCATTTAGGATCAGGCTCGAGCAGGTCCAGAAGGAACAGGTAAATGACCTAAACAGATGGCCCAGATTCTCATCGCACCCACCTCTGTTGAAGTTCTTCCTCAGTGTATTCCTATAGGCTCAAAGGGGAGTTCACTATGACAGTGTGATGGAGGACGAAAGGACCAGGGCCTCATTTACATCCAGGTCAACACAATAGATCAGTGCTAGTTGGGAATAGACTACTGTTGCATTAGATCCCCATTCAAGGGTGGAAGGAGAGGTGGCCTGAGTTGCAGACATCTGTGACTCCTGTGCAGAGATAAGCAGCTTGGCTACTTGTTTATGGAAAGATCAAGACTGAAAATTCAAGGGCATGGAGGGCAAGTAAATAGTAAATGGATAAACTCATGGGAGTGGACACAAAGGGTAAGGGTCTTTCTGCCTCATCCTAATGCTCACCAGAGAGCATTCATTGCCAAGGAGGCCCTCAGCAATGGGACCTGATGACTCATCTTATGGAAGTCAACCAGCCTCTGTCTCTGGCCATCTTAGTGCTTTTCTGAATGATGGCATGGTCTGCTGAAGGCTCAGCTATGACATCAGCTTGGAGACAACAACCTATGGGGTTGGGGCGTTGTTCTGTATGTAGCGTGAGTTGATAGATGTGTCTCCAACAGTTAGATACACAAATCTGGGAGCCAAGGAGTGGAAGTAGGATTAGCCCCTCTGAGCCCAACTGCCAGTGAGATTCCTGCAGACTCTGTGCTTCTCGTTCCTGCAAACTTAGACTCTGAAGGGTTAGAGGTCCTGGCTCCTTGAAGGTGAAGCTTCCACCAGTGAAGACAATAAGAGTTATACTCAACTGGAAGCTGTAACGACTACCTGGGTACCTGGGGCTCCTTGTGCCAGTGGACCAGCAGTCCGAAGAGAATTTGCCATACTGGTAGGGTGATCATCCTTGATTACTGTGAGGATCTAGGCTGGCTATTACACAGTGGGCACAGGGAAGAGCGTGTCTGGTGCTAAGCACTGAATTATGTTCCCGTGAAATTCATATGTTGAATTCGTAATCCCTAATGTGACTGTATTTGGAGATATAGTCTTTAGGAGGAAAGATTAATTGAAGTCATAAGGGTGAGGCCCTAATCCGATAGAGATCAGAGCTCTTTTTCTTGCTCTCTTTGTAGGCTCAGAGGAAGGGCCATGTGAGGACAAGGCAGCTGTCTGCAAGCCAAGAAGAGAGCTCTCACCAGAAACCAGCTCTGCTGGACTTTTAACTGGGACCTCCAGCCTCCAGAACCGTGAGAGAATGAATTTCTGTTGTTTAAGCCCCCAGCCTGTGGTATTTTGTTATGGCAGCCCGAGCTGGTGCTCTGGGATTCACCGGGGCTTCCCTGCTCAGAGATAACCATGAATGGGCGATTGCAACATCCACAGACCCTCCAGGGAAGAACCC